CTTCGACTTTCTACTCCCCATTAAATTCAGGGAGCTTTTTAATGAATAAAATAAATCAACATTCAATGAGGATGGGGAAATGGGACATGAGGGTTCCTTGGGCCAGGAGTATGGGGAGAACATCTGAAAAGGAAGGAGGGGTTTCATTTGTAAGAACGGTCTTTTCATATGAATCCCCCTGTTGAGGAAAATTACAAAATTAGACTAAAATACCTTCAATATGTAACATAGTCAAAATAAAAGAGGTATTGCCAGGATAACATTAAAAAGCAAATGAACTAAGAGGCAAAACAGAGCAAGAGACACTTTTTTTCTGACAGCATCATTCTTACGGGATATAATGCCAAGGCTTTTACAGTAGGAGCTGAAGGAGTCTCACAGGGACCCTCACAATGAGAACAACAATAGCAAAATAAGTCTAACTCTAAAAGAAGCCCATGTAGAATCATCCCCAGGTGTGAAGCACCTGGAGTCTCAGCAGAGCATTAAGCCTTAGATTTGCTTCTAGATGACCACGGACTGGTGATGAGCACAGGCCTCTGGGAGCAACACTCACATGGCTGGTTATGCTGATATCTTGTCAGTCATCACTGTGCATCCTGAAACACATCCTGTGATTAGCTCCCTGTAGGCCGTGACTAACATGGAAGAAACAATGTCTCAGCTGTAAACACTGCAGAGAGGACCTACTCATTCTACTCCCTTAGGTCAAGAGTAGAAAGATCCATTTGCAATGGTCAGGATGCCCTTCCAGAAGAGCTGGGTCAGTGTCTGAAGGACCAGCTGACTTGGGATCCTATGTCAGCAGAAGGTGCTGTTGGACTGTTCCTGAGAGGGCAGAGCTCTGGGCTAGGCCACACAGGAATACTCTACTGGCTCTCACACGCTTGAGCAAGCAGTGTCCTCACTGAAGTATGACCTTTCTGCACCTGCACCACCAAGCAGCAGGCATTTTCTACACTTCAGGGGCCACTGAGCACTAGATTCTAACACACACCAATGCTTCGCTATTTTATCCTCCACCGTCATGGAGTCCCTGTCCAAGCCTGTTGTTCAAGCTGAGAAAAACCACACAGCAGGAACAAATTTGCTCAAAGAAACTTGAACTACAATGCTTTCTGTGCAAAGAATGAGAAACAGGCCGGGCACGGTGGCTCACCCCTGTAATCCTAGCAATTTGGGAGGCCGAGGTGGGTGGATCGCCTGAGGTCAGGAGTTCAAGACCAGCCTGGCCATCATGTGAAGCCCTATCTTTAAAATAAAAAAAAAAAGAAGAAAGAAACACTTGAGTTGGAGAAGTTTCCATCTGAACAACTTAGACTCAGGACGAAGAACTCTGGGGCTTCTCCAGCATGGCCAGACGCTCACTCCACTTCAAAATCCTTAGTCATTAGACCAGGAGTTCCTTTAGGGATCAGATCAAGAGTTTCTGGGTGCACATTCCACGGCCTTTTGGGCATGAGTAGCTTGTCATCTCACTGTATCCACCACTTCTAAACCTCCTTCCTGAGTGCTGGGTTACAGGACATTAACTGCCATTTATACAGTCTTATAAACACACACATACACGTACACACACACACACACAAACACAAACACACATACTTATTTTGATGTTCCATCAAAAATAAAACTAAACTCTGCAGGAACAGAAACAGATTTGAATAATACAAGACAATCTTAATGAACATTGAAGCAGAAATTTCTCAGAATATTAGCAATTAGAGTCCATGTTATCTCAATGAGGAATCACCTTGACCATCTGGGGGGATGTGGGTTGAGATATTTACACAGTCATTGGAGGATGATGAACATGTTCTTTGAAAAAATAGCAGGTTTAGAGATACCAACCAGTGGTCAGAGGCTTCAATTAGAGAAAGAGCCTGTGACTTCTCAGTGCTGTTTCCCTGAAAAACTCTGGGAGAAAGAAATGGAGTGACTGGCCATGTCCCTCCAGCTCCCTGCACTGTGGTCATACCTACTGCTGCCACATTCTCAGCAGGAGCACCCCTACATGGGCACAAATTTTATGGCTCAGGCTGGTCATCACTCTGGGTCCACAGTAGCTGGTCGGAGAGAAACTGTCTTCAGCCCTGCCCGGCAGAAGAAAAGAGCAGTCCTGACTGATCAGCTGGGTTCCTGCCATCCAGGCAGAAGTCCTTGTCTGTCTGGAGGCCCAAAGCATGACTGTGCTTCCTTTGAGGATTCCTCCCACACCAAGGCTGTGGGTTCTGCTGCCGTCCTCAGGCCCTGTGCAGTCTGTTCTATCCCTGCTTTAGCTACGGGCTAACCTGCTCCCCGCAAGCTCCCTGCACACAGGACACCGGAGTCCTCCCAAGGGCTGCTCTTCCTGGAGAAGAAGGAGAACCAGGCAGTAAGGTCTATCTGAGCATCATGGGAAGGAAGTGATCCGATTCTGACTCCAGTGGTCACACACCCTTGGTGTCTCCTGCTGTTACGGACACAGGAAGAGGTGGAAATCTGTGGGTTGTGGTTCTAGCCAGGAATAATCCATAAAGGGTGAAGGGGCAAGGACACTAGGCATGGGGTCTCCTTGTTATCCTCATGGTGTCAACGGCCTGTGTTTTGTGTTTCTGGAGAGATCTATGGCTGGATGTGACACTCCCTAGCAGAAGACAGGAATCAAAGAGGAGGATCTCTAATAGAAAGATTCACAAAGGAGGAGGGAGAAAAAATTGGGCAATATGCTCAGGGTAAGAAAGATGGATTTGTGTTAAGGGCTATTTATTTAGCTTCTCTGTTTTTTTTTTTTTTTTTTTTTTTTTGAGATGGAATCTTGCTCTGTTGCCAGGCTGGAGTGCAGTGGTACAATCTCAGCTCACTGCAACCTCTGCCTCCTGGGTTCAAGCGATTCTTCTGCCTCAGCCTCCCTAGTAGCTGGGACCACAGGTGTGTGCCACCATGCCTGACTAATTTTTGTATTTTTAGTAGAGACAAGTTTTCACCATTTTGGCCAGGATGGTCTCGATATCTTGACCTCGTCGTGATCTGCCCGCCTCAGCCTCCCAACACTCATTTTTATTATTAAATAATTTAATAACAAAAATTGTTTTTCAATGAAATTTTGGGAAATTCTAATCACCATTCCTTTATTAAATATCTAGATATGTACATCTAAACATATGTATATACATATGCATATATAAAACATATATAATGTATATTTGTGTGTATGCATGTGTGTATATTTATATATATGTATATATGCATGTGTATATAAACACAGAAAGACAAATTAAGAAATGGGGAGGCTTCCTTAATTTCTTAGTAATGGTCTGTTTATATCTAATAAAAAGATGCCCCTAAGGTTGAACCACTAGAATCATTTTATTTATAATGTGGAACAATAGAGTGTTTATGGCTTCTAAACATATTGGATCACATTTTTCTAGCAATATAAGAAATAAGCAAAAGTGTAAAACATTTTACGTTTAAATCAATACTTTTATTTTTTTAGTTGCTATGTTTATCTACCAAGTAGACATTATATCATTCTGATACTCTTATAAATTATTGAATTAAAGCTTGTTAAATACAAATGTTTTATGTGCAAATAGCATATCAACATTTATGTTTCTCACATATGCTTTCAGAAATCACTTTAAAATGTAGCAGTTGATAATGTTGACAAAATATCAAAACCTATAAACTCCAGGTTTAAAAACAACAAAGTACACAGTATACTTAAGAAAATAGTGTCAAAACGCACTACTATAAGAGACCATGATCAATATTTGAATTTTCTTTTATATGAAGACACTAAAAAACTTTTAGCAGTGACTAGATAAGGTTGTAGAGATTCCCTTATGTTTCTATTGCTGTCCTTGAGAAGGAGCGTGGGTGGGTCTAAGCAGAGGTGGCTGTGCAGACCCAAGATGCTAGCCTGGCCCCCTTATCCAGCCCATTACCCTAGTCCCAGCCAGTCTCACGCGTGGTCCATCACCATCTTCTTGAGTGGAGAGAAAGACAGGTGGTAGAGAGACAGGAAAAGAGTTAGTTTAGAGTCGGCAGTGGGAGGGAAAGAGGTAGATAGCGTGGGTTCATGTAGTACTTTGACAACTGTGGACTTACTTCTGAATGAAACATAAGTCATTGAGAGTGTGGAACGGTGAAATAGTATTTCAAAATAAAATAGAAGAAGATTCCAGTGAGCATGTGGGGAATCACAAACACTCACAGCTGGGTGAATAAACAAGCTCTGCCATCTGGGGAAAGTTTCTCTGCACACAAGGAGAGTAAGTGTGTTTGCCACTGTCATGCAGAAGTTCACCCATACAGAGACACAAGGAAATGTTTATAAAGAGACCCTTATTGGGAGCAATGTATTGGAAGCAATGTAGGTGTTCAACACAAATGGAATTCAGAACACAAATAGAAGATAAATTGCTAGCCGTCTGGAAGTAATATAATAACTTCTTACGCATTGTGGATGAAAATATAATTATCAGTTGGAAAATAACAACAAAAACTTTCACCAAATTAAAAAAAATCAAATACTCTGAAGAAAAAAGCAATGTTCCACTGATTTAAAAACAGAAACATACATAAGGGATTCTTCAAGCCTGTGTAATGGGCTTTTTGGAAAGTAGACTTGAAGCACATTATTTCACATAAACGGGAGTCTTAGGAAGAGATGGGGACACATATAATGGCTAAAAATTGAAATAAATGCATAGAGAGGTCTTTCAGTGTCTAGTGATGAGAGTAGTAACAATATTATGTGATGAAATTCCAAAATATAAAACAGAAAACTATTCTCGATTTGGGGGTTGTAGCAGATGATTCAGTAAAGTGAGGATTCATGAGGGGCTGATGCAGCGAACGACAAGCTCTCTGCGTCTCGTTGTTAGTTGGAAGGGCATTGCCTTGCCAGAAACCCGTTATTTAGGTTTCACAGGGTCCCTGGGTCCCTCTCCAACATCATGAGCAGGTTCAGAAGAGGAACAGAAAAACCCATGATTCTCTGGCTAACATGGCCCAGGTGTGCCAGAGAGGTAAGAAGGGTTTGAGATCTTGGCCAGAGTGAGACAGTGGGAGAAACTCCTGAGATGACCCCACCCAGCTTCGAAACTACTCAGGGACTGCAGGGGAGTTTAGCCAACAGGGTGCTCACCAGACTCAGTCTGGGCTGCAACTCACACCTGCTGCGACCCAGGGATCACCACGACCCAGGCCACCTCCACCCCTGGGTCAGTGCATCTCTTCCCTCTCTGCTTCTGATCTGTGAGTAACCAGGGCATGGAGGCCCAGGAAAAGTCAGATGGCAAGGTCTTATGTAAATGCTATGACTCCACCCCCATGAAGATTTCGGGGCTATAAAGAGACTTACGGGAACTATCTCCAAAGCAGAGCTTCAGGAAGCACAGTGGGAATCTGCACCATGCCTTGGGCTCCACTCCTCCTGACCTTCCTCACTTACTCTGCAGGTGAGAGTGGATCTTATCCAGGGACAGGCGGGATCCACACCCACCTCTGGTTCAGCCCCTCCACTTCCTGCCTCAGTGGATTCTGATCCTCCTCTCACCTTCCTCTCTGTCCCCCTTGCAGTGTCAGTGGTCCAGGCAGGGCTGACCCAGCCATCCTCAGTGTCCGAAGGCTTGAGACAGACAGCCACACTCACCTGCACTGGGAACAGTAACAATGTTGGCAACCAGGGAGCAGCATGGCTGCAGCAGCACCAGGGCCACGCTCCCAAACTCCTGTCCTACAGGAGTAACAACCGGCCCTCGGGGATCTCAGAGAGATTCTCTGCATCCAGGTCAGGAAACACAGCTTCTCTGACCATCACTGGGCTCCAGCCTGAGGACGAGGCTGACTATTACTGCTCAGCATGGGACAGCAGCCTCAGTGCTCACACAGTGCCTCAGATCAGTGGGGAAATGAGACAAAAACTCGAGAGCTCTCCAGGCCTCACTGAGCACACGGGGACCTCACAGTTTAACTGAACCCCCACTAAAGTCAAGGGATGTATTCACAACAGTGTACACTATTTAGACTGTTAAAAATAGAAACATGAGGTCGGGTGCGGTGGCTCACGCCTGTAATCTCAGCACTTTGGGAGGCTGGGGTGGGTGGATCACTAGGTCAGGAGAGTGAGACTGTCCTGGCTAACACCGTGAAAGCTCATCTCTACTAATAATACAAAAAAATTAGCTGGGTATGGTGGCACACGCCTGTAGTCCCAGCTACTTAGGAGGCAGAGGCAGGAGAATTGCTTGAACCCGGGAGGCAGAGGTTGCAGTGAGCTGAGATCACGCCACTGCACTGCAGCCTGGGCAACAGGGCAATGAAGCGAGACTCTGTCTCAAAACAAAAAACAAAAAGGAAACATGAAGTGAAATTAGCAAGCCTCCACTATTCACAAATGTATGTAGGTAACATCATTGTTTTATATTAGTAGATATATAGATGTATAAAATATATGTGTATATATATAATTACTAGTGCATAAACATGCATATGCACTAGCATTTAGTAAGAAGAGAAACACTATGTTTAATTAAGAAAATATTTATTATTCCAGAGTTTTCTTATCCATTCCATTTGAAGATGATGGGATCAGTGCACTGAGGGTCCAGCTCTCTGGTCATGAGAGTCCATTCAGCAGGGCCACCAGCAGCCTCTCCCTTCTGTGGCCTGGGCTGATGCCTTGTCTTCTCATTAGAATCCCCTTCCTCTCTGTCACAGGGATCCCTAGACTCCTCGTTCAGATCCAAACTTGTCCACCACAGTTGGTTGAAGCCTCCTGGGCCCCACATTACTGTGCACCCTCAACAGCACACACAAAAAGGACGGCGTTCCCACGCGTGCTCTTCTTTTGCCTCATCACTGTCCTCTAACAGCCATGGGCAGCGTGTGGAGAGAGCAGGTGAAGCTGCAGCTTTGGGATACAGTTGACAAAGATGTTGACATTTTGAAAAAAATGAAGAAAACGTATATAGCTGTTTTAAGGATAATTGTCCATCGAGATAAAAATCCATGCATAAGAGCGTCACTCTTCCAATGATGGATGTGCGGAGGATCCTTCTCACTCTATTGTGAGGTAGCAACACCTGGAAAACTTACTGTGTTATTTAGTGTGCAGACATCTTGTAAACCACTTAACTGACACTAGGGAAGTTGACCAAACACTGTCCTCTCCACCTGTGAGGCCCCACTACCCTGTCACTTCTTGAGTCTGCTTTCCAATTCTGCTTCTTCAGATTTAAGGCATCTCTCCCGTATCTCTTTAAAGTCATTGCCCAAGTCTGTTGAGGAAGTGCTAATACACGGTGAGAATCCAGGGTGTATATTGAGGGAGTGATTCTGCGCCTAGGAGAGCCTGGCCAGGAGATAGAACACAGCTTGTGGGTGGGCATCCTCCCCACAGTGGAGCTTCTGGAGACAGAGCTCTGAGATGTCCCCACCACATCCTGGAGTGGAAAAAAGCATCCGATGAAGCCTGACCTTCCTGGAGTGTTCAACTATCAGTCAATAAAGTAGAGGGTTGTGATTCTGTGGCCCTTAGGAGCTTCTATGGGTCTGACGAGAGAGAAAATTTCCAGGAGGCAGCTGGCTGAGCCTGTTCTAGTGGGAGTGGCTACAATTTCCCCATGGGTATGTGACTGTCCCTTAGCTGGAACTGCTCTCATCCCATAGGAATGACAAAAGTTATTTCTTCCTTTTCCACCCCAAATGGAAGTTCTATCCAAAGAAGAGACCAATCCTCAATCACAGCACAGGTCAGAACTGGGAAGAGTGCATGGCAGCAACACATTTGCAGGAAGGGATTTTACTGCACAAAGATGAGGAGAAAGGGTAGAAAACACCCTAAGAATCCCCAGACCCCACTGTGGACCCCAGGAAGCTGTGTTGGGCATCCCTACGTGGAACCATGGACATTCACTTGTAATATACAATCCACATGAGAACATTGCCTGCTAGGCAAGTGCAGCTCAGCGGCAGGTTCTTGCCCTCACATATAATGAGGTGGTTGATGGCCCCTCACCCCATGTAGAATTCCTGACCTGCCATCTGCCCCCATTCTGAAGAACTGACAAGCAGCAGCAAAATCAGCACAGTTCAGGTCACTCCGGTAGTGACCACAGCACTGGGAAGGGAAAGTGGGGACAGAGGTCTGTGACTAAGAAGGGGGCTGTGAGGTGTGCTGTGAAGATGAGGGCGTCGGATTGTTTCATATTGGAAGTCACATGAGGATGACAGACGGTAGGTGTGTGAGCCCAGAGGCTTCACTGAACTGGTCCTGGACCGTGTTGTGACCCGGTCATTCTCCCCATGGGCTCTGTGTGCCCATCCAGTGCCTCACAGCCTCACACATTCACTCCACCCACTTCTGCATGTGCCTGGCGCCTCCCCTGGAAGGCAGATCTTTCTGTGAAGATCCCAAGTGAACCAGGCCAAGGTGTCCTTCCTTCTGCCAGGGATGCTTCTCTTTTCCCTGCTTCTCCTCATGTTGCCTTTTCATCCTCTCCAGGGGGCCCCAAACCTCAGAGCTCCTGTCCCTCAGGGCGTTTACCAGCTCCTCCCAGCCCTAATACCCTGTCATTTTCAGGCACGTGAAGAGCACCTTGACTTTCCCTGGGACCCGGTGAGGAGCCCACTCTCCTTTGGTCAGTTTCCCAGTCACAGCCCTGCCCTGGACCACACTCCTGCATGCCCCTCTGAATGCACTTTTCCTCTTTTTTGTCTTTGCGTATCCTCCCACACCTCTTTGGGAGGTGTGTCACACTGTCTTCGTCCAGAACTGGGATGCAGAGCCTGGCTCACCTCTGTGTATTGAACACAGGGATTGGACAACAGTCATCTATGGAGAAGAGACCCCTCCCAAGGTAATCGATGTGTGGAATTTCATGTGCCCTCCCAAAGGTCCTCATTCCATTTCTCACTCACGCAAAGAGGTCAGATTTGAGGTAGACAAACAACAAGAAGCGGACTAATGGTCTATGAAGTCCTTCACATCGGAGAAGGCTCTTTGGTAGTGTTTGTTTCTTCACACCATAAACCATGCTTTGATGAATAAACAAATTTTTGTCTTAAAATATGTCTTTATTTCTTTGTTATGTCCCATTTTAGACATTAATCAACTTTTAAAATAGCCTTCCTATATTTGAAAAATGCACACTTTATAAATCTCTGACTCTTTCTGCAGAAGATAAATGTCTGATATTTCCCAGGAACATGTAAATATGTCCTTGAAAATATTTCAGTAAATGAGCAGATAATCCCATAACATAGAATGAAAAATACATGGAAACTATATGAGAAGACAGTTGCAGATGTCAGGTGTAATAAAAGAAAGCCTGAAAAAAATAAAGTTGATAATGTTGGTCCTCCACCACAAATTTCCCAAATGTATAAGATTGGGGGGGAAATGTTGGAAAAGTTCTCTTTGATGTCCTTGATCTTGACCATCATGTCATGGCCATGGAAAGGGGAATAAAAGTCAAATTGGAGGGAGAATGAGGAAAGAAGGCACTGTAGGTTAGAGCAGAAAGTGTGACATGTTTAACAAGCAAAGAGGCCCTCGGTTGGTGAGGGCATAGTGCCCTTGCCCAGGTGACACGACCTGTGACAAAGCACCGTCCTCATTACTAAGGCACCTATGGGTGTGAGCACAGCAATGGTCTGAGAGTGGAGTCCCCTCCTTGATCTTCATGTGACTTTGTCACCTGCCATCAAGCAGAGGGAGCATGTGCTTTTAAAATATGCCTTTCACTAATACTTGCATAACATATTAGTGAAATAAATTAATTACAGTTTCCTCAAATGTAAAATGAGTGTTGGTGGCTTTGTATCCCCTTAAAGTAGCAGATGCTCTCATAGCTCCATGTTAATCATTTAATGCATCATCCCCACACAGTCCCCCATGACGGCACAGCCTGCTGTTTAAGCATTGCAGAGCTTTCTTTTATGTTGACATCTGCATCACTACCTGGCATCTAGCTTTCCAAAACAGAGAAACTAACACTCATCACAGCACCCTAAGCAGGTCCTAAAAAATATCTTCTATGAGAGCAGCATAACACCCAACAGGTCCACAAATGAGAACTTCAAAGTTATGTTGACTTCTTTAAACCTTTCCAAGGAAGCCAATTCATCACTAGCTGTGTAAATTCACTCCAAGCCTCTTTCAAAGCTCTCTGGTCTATTGACTTTCTATTCTACCTTCATGAAGCTTACTGATTAAGAGCTCTAATTAAATTTTCCCCGACTCACACCTGGGCCCACCCCTCTTTGTGTCCTCAGAGTCTTTCTCCTCTCCTGGTGTCTCTGACGGTGACATATGACCCCTGATCCCAGGGTTTCTCCATCTTCCTGCCTGAAAAGCTGGGTCTCCTCTCAGTGAAGGGTCCATAACCTTACCATGTGTGGTCCTTCCTAGAAAAGACAGAGACATTGCTTTTGTTTCATTTAAACAGAGCCGATTTTCTCTGATATTCATCACTTCCAACCACACAAAGTGAATCTAAATGTTTTAACCAGAGTACTGGCTCCACTAGCTTTTTGCTAATCTGAACAGATTTGAAAGTTTAAAAGTACAGTCAGTATTGGATGCTGAGCAGAGACCCCCTGGGCAGCAGCTGAAATTGTGAGGAGTGCAGGATGCAAGGACAGGGGCCCTGGGAACCAGCATCTGTCCAGGGCCAACGTTGCTTCTGCATCCACCAGAGGGCTCTGTGGTTTAAGCACTGCTCAGGCTCCCCAGCTCCCCAGCTATTTTTCCCCCACCTGCAGGTGTTCCTGTGCCCTCTATGGGGCGTAGTGCCTTATCCTTGTACAGCCTCTTCATTTCTTAGCCAAGGCCAGTCTGAAGTCAAAGGAGGGGCTTGTGCAGCTCCAGAAAAGGAGACATTTGCATGGAGACCTCCCACCCTGAGCATTACAGTGAAAGATAAGGAGGGTTGATGGCTCATTCCTGGCTGTGGTTCAGGAAGCAGAGCCTGAGGCATCTCCACCATGGCCTGGGCTCCACTCCTCCTCACTCTCCTGGCTCACTGCACAGGTGGCTGTCTGCAGGGAATTCAGGGATGGCTCCTGGATGTCACCTGGGATGATGGCCTCTGCCTTCTCCCTGGTAACCAGCCCCGATCTGTCCTCACTGATCTCTGTGTTGTTCCCTTCTTGCAGAGTCTTGGGCTGAGGTTGTGTTCACTCAGCCCCATTCTGTGTCGGGGTCTCCGGGGCAGACGGTCACCATCTCCTGCACCCGCAGCAGTGGCAGCATTGACAGCAGATACGTGCACTGGTACTAGCAGCTCTCGGGCAATGCCATCACCACTGTGATCTATGAGAATAAGCAAAGACCCTCTGGGGTCCCTGATCGGTTCTCTGGCTCCATCGACACCTCCTCCAACTCTGCCTCCCTCACCATCTCTGGGCTGGAGCCTGAGGACGAGGCTGACTACTACTGTCAGTCTTATGATGACAGCAGCAATTACCACACAGTGCTCCAGCCCCATGGGGAAGTGAGACAAGAACTCCACAGAACATGCCCACCCTGGGTCAGCCTCAGCCTCTTCCCACCAGGGTGTGTAGCTCTTCCCTCCTGCCTGAGTGTTTGAGTTGCACTTGTCTTCTCACAACTTTCTCTGTTTTTTTTCAAAATACCAATATCTCCTTCCAAATCTTGATGGAAGATGATTAATTCATGGGGTAGATGTTTAAATCAGGGTTTCTGAGCCACAACACTATTGCTACTCTGTGTTTGGGGCTGTCCTGGACAGTGTAAGCTGTTTAGCAGCATCTCTTACCGCTACCCATCAGATTCTGTTAACATTATATTCTCTCCTGGGACAACCAACTGTCTAAATACACTGCCAACATCCCCTTGCTGAAGGGCAAGTTCAGCCCTCATTGATGCCACTCTGATAAAGGGCATGTTTTCAACCATCAGAACACCCTTGACTTAGCATCTCATTTATGAACTTGAGGCTAGTTTTAAGAAAAAATATCTCCGTGTTTCTTGTTTCCATCTGATCAACAAGCAATATAATAGAACTAAAGTTTTTTTAATGCTAAAATTGTATTTTTAGCAACATGAGATCAGAACTGATGTTACCTAATCCTGTAGAAGCCCCAACCAGAGTCTGTAATGCAACTGTTTTGCGAAGACTAAGTGTGCACGTAACACTTTATATCTTTGTGTGCTTTGTATGTTGCACAATGAAATCTAGTAGATCTATATTTTATTAAAGGTAATATTTTTCAAGCATAAAAAGTATGAAGTGTTGCTACATGCTCCACATAGATGGACCTTGAAAACTTATGCTCCATAAATGGAGCAAACAAAAATATACAATTATTGCTATATTTATAAAAAAAATGTCCACAATCAGCAAATTCACAGAGGCCAAAAGGATAGGGAATATCTGCAATGGCTGTCATAACTGAAGTGAGAGGGTGACTTTGAGAATAAGAAACCAGAAAGCAATTGTTTTTATTTTGCTTTAAGTTCTGGGGTACATGTGCAGAACGTGCTGCTTTGTTACATGGGTACACACTTGCCATGGTGGTTAGCTGCATCTGTCCCCTCAACATCTACATTAGGCATTTCTCCTAATGTTATCCCATCCCAATCCCCCACCCCCTGCTATCCCTCCTCTAGCCCCTCCACCCCCAACGGGCCCCAGTGTGTGATGTTCCCTTTTCTGTGTCCATGTGTTCTCATTGTTCAACACCCGCTTGTGAGAACATGCATTGTTTGGTTTTCTGTTCTTGTGTTAGTTTGCTGAGAATGATGGTTTCCAGCTTCATCTATGTCCCTGCAAAGGACACGAACTCATCCTTTTTTATGGCTGCATAGTATTCCATGGTGTATATGTGCCACGTTTTCTTTATCCAGTCTATCACTGATGGTCATTTGGGTTGATTCCAAGTCTTTCTTATTACAAATAGTGCCACAATAAACATACATGTGCATGTGTTTTTATAATTTAATGTTTTATAATCCTTTGGTATATATCCAGATTAGCAAATTGGATAAAAAGTCAAGACCCATCAGTGCAAAGACACACATAGGCTCTAAATAAAGGAATGGAGGAAGACTTACCAAGCAAATGGAGAGCAAAAAAAAGCAGGGGTTGCAGTCCTAGTCTCTGATAAAACAGGCTTTAAACCAACAGAGATCAAATGAGACAAAGAAGGGCATTACATAATGGTAAAGGGATCAATGCCACAGGAAAATCTAACTATCCTAAATATATAGGCACCCAATATAGGAGAACCCAGACACATAAAGCAATTTCTTAATGACCTACAAAGAGATTTAGACTCCCACACAATAATAGTGGGAGACTTTAACACTCCACTGTCAATATTAGACAGACCAAAGAGACAGAAAATTAACAAGGAAATCCAGAACTTGAACTCAGATCTGGACCAAGCGGACCTAATAGACATCTACAGAATTCTCCACCCCAAAGTCACAAAATATGCATTTTCTCAGCACCACATGGCATGCACTCTAAAATTGACCACATAATTGGAAGTAAATCACTCCTCAGCAATGCAAAAGAATGCAAGTCATAACAAACAATCCCTCAGACCACAGTGCAATCAAATTAGAACTCAGGATTAAGAAACTCACTCAAAACTGCACAACTACATAGAAACTGAACAACCTGCTCCTGAATGACTACCGGATAAATAATGAAATGAAGGCAGAAATAAAGATGTTCTTCAAGACCAATGAAAACAAAGACACAATGTACCAGAATCTCTGGGGCACATTTAAAGCAGTGTCTAGCGGGAAATTTATAGCACTAAATGCCCACATGAGAAGTGAGGAACGGGCTAAAATTGACACCCTAACATCACGATTAAAAGAAATAGAGAAGCAAGATCAAACAAACTCAAAAGCTGGCAGAAGACAGGAAATAACTAAGGTCAGAGCAGAACTGAAGGAGATAGAGGTACAAAAACCCTTCAAAGATAAATAAATCCAGGAGCTGGTTTTAGAAAAAGATCAACAAAATAGACCACTAGCCAGACTAATAAAAACGAAGAGAAGAATCAAATAGATACAATAATAATGTTAAAGGGGCTGTCACCACCGACTCCACAGAAATACAACCTACCATCAGAAATTACTACAAACACCTCTATGCATATAAACCAGTAAATCAACAAGAAATGGCTACATCCCTGGACACTTACACCCTCCCAAGACTAAACCAGGAAGAAGTTGATTAGACCCATAACAAGGTCTGAAGTTGAGGCAGCAGTTAATAGACTACCAATCAATAAAAGTCCAGGCCCAGATGGGTTCACAGCCAAATTCTACCTGAGGTACAAAGAGGAGCTGGTACCATTCCTTCTGAAACTATTCTAAACAATACAAAAAGAGGGAATCCTCCCTAACTCATTTTATGAGACCAACATCATCCTGATACCAAAACCTGGAAGCAATTTAAAAAGTAAACTGCAGTCGTCTTCCTGAACAAAGGTGATGGTTTCCCTATCCTTAGTTGTATAAAAAAGTCTACTGGGTGAAGCTGAGGCCCATAAGAATACTTTTGTTTTCTTTTGTGAAATTAAACGTAAATAAGAACACTGCTTGCTCACTGATCTCCTCATTAGGTCACTTCCCGTGGTCTCTAAGAGCAGTCCTTCTGGCTTCCCAGTCTCATCCCTGAGCGCCATCATCTAGGGACTTAACAGCACAATCAGGGTCACACCTGTGAGACTCTCAGTGAGTCAGCAGGGCTGTGTCCTGGGGATGTAGGGCGACAGGGGGCCAGCAGAGGGTGCATGGGGTTGTCTCAGAGGATGAATGTGTCTGGCTCTGCCATCCAGGGAAGGCCTTCAGAAGGCTGGAGACCAGCTGAGCCCAGTGAGCTCACTGAACTGAGATGTGAAGTGACTGCAGCTGTCAGGACCTCTCAGGACCAATGGGCCATCAAGGTCCAGGCTCTCACTCCGTGGCACCTGGATCAGTTGAAATTCTTTTCCTTTTCTTCCTCCTCAAGGAAACAGAGGCATTACCTTGGACTGAGGGGTGCTGTCACTGATCAGGGTCCAGGATGTAAACAAAAAAGGAACTGAGGCAGATCTTAATTGATTTAGAGGGAAAAAGAAACACAAGTCACAGTAGAATCTGTATCCTGTGCTTTTTCCAAAGAGGGTTTTGAGGACTTCAATGTTTAAAGGGGAAAGAGCAAGTAAGAAAGAAAAGAGAAAAGGAAAAAGCAGGAGAAAAAACAGATAGGGAGTAGGCAATGAGGCAAATGGTAACATTCTTGTGACCATTCAGTAGAGACAGGATTAGAGGAAGCAATGATAGAAGAGCTTAGTGAATCTATAGTTCAAATATGGAAAGAAATGAGTGGGGGGAAGTCAACTATGCATGCCTCTCCGTGAATCCACATTTTACATAAGATGAAGTCAACATGTGAAGTTGCAGCTACTTCTGTGAACACAAGTAAGGCAGTTTCTGCATAACTTGGTTCTCAGGTTTAACTTTCCCTTTGACATAGTGAATTTGGTGGCCTGATTTTTTTCCTTTGATAAGGGACATATTTGAATGTAAAAAATTCTCCACCATTGGGACTTGTAGAGACTAAGAATTCGTAGTACTTCCAGTCCATGCTGGAGTCTTGGGGTGCAGGTCTCTGGATGACTGCACCATGACCCAGCCATTCCCCTTTTTGTCCTCCTCACCTTCTGCACAGGTGAGGGCTGGCCTGCCCTGAGGTGAAGACTCCACCCATCTCTGCTCCACTCCCTCCTTCATCTCATTTTCCTTTCTGTCTCCCCAACCCTCCAGGGTCTGTGTCCAAGGCCCCTGGAACATTAGGTCAAAATCACCTACACTGGAAGCCGCACAGTGTTGTCACCCAGGAACAGCTTGGTTGCAGCAGCACCTGGGATATGTCCCCAAACTCCTGCTCTTAGGAATAATAACTTCACCTCAGGGATCTCAGAGATTCCCTGCCTCCAGGTCAGGTAGTCTGGCCTTCTTTGGGCTCCAGCCTGGGGATGAGGCTGGCTATCACTAGTACAGGAAAGCAGCCTTGATGATTGCATTGTGTTTGTGGCCCATGGGGAAATGAAATAAAAACCTGGGAGCTTCCTCTGACCTTTTCACGCTCCTGAAGAATGGACCAATGAGCTTGTGAGAAAGCGTGGCCTGGGCCTCTGATGGATGCTATTTGGTGTTTGAAGGGGCTGTTATCTAAAGGGGCTCTTTCTAAGTTGTGAATACTAACAAAACTCAATAAATCAAATTAATGCTTAGAATTATTCATTAGACACATTTTATATGCAACACAATGCTAAATATTTTGGGGTTGTGATATTAGGCATTCCATACATTGTTAATAATGAGATAAAGGACAGAGTCTAGATTCATCTGCTTAGCCTCTGGTTTAGTTTCAGAAGAAACTGAGATTGCTGCTGGAATAGCCGAAGGAATCACCACTTATCTGCCTTTTTTCCTGACTATCTTTCAATTTCATGTAGTGAGCAGGGATCAATATGTAGATTATCTAACATTAACTGTGTTGTTTCCTTGCTGTCATCCCTGGCACAGAAACAGTGATGCCCCAACACAACTTTCCTCTTGAGTTTTCAGGAACTGAGTCTCTTAACTTGTGCCTAGATCCAGAGCCTCATCTCCTCCTGTTTCTACCAGTCCTTGAACTCAGCTGTTTGAGGGGAGCAAAGGGCTACCATGAGGGTACAATGGAGTTAAGTCCTGAGAGCTTGTGGTTGGGAAGGATTTGTAACACTGAAGCCTGACCTCAAGAAGTGATATCTGCTACAATGCCGTTAGAATTAATGAAAATGAGCTATAAGGGAAGATGGTGGAATGTTCCAGGTATTGGTAATAGCCTTTGTCAATAATATTTATAAAAAAGAATATAAGGCTGTTCATTCTATTTATTAAGACAGCTTGCATTGGCCCTAAGTGTGGCAGATCTCAGTGGGGACAGGGTCAGGCGAAGCCACTCTTGGTGAGCCTGGATAACCTAAAGGAAGGATATGAATGGATCATTAAGAGGTTGTATCCCAGAAAGCATGTGCTTGACCGCAGAGGCCATGGGAGTCATTGAAGTGTCATCTTCTGGCATTTATGAGCTCTCTAGGTACAAAGTGGAGAGTGGATTAAAGGGTAAACTGAGGAGACATCTGAGACTGGGAGACTAGTTAGGCATCAAAGACAATAATCCACAGACAGATGACAATATACTTGCTAGAGCTGTGACAGTGGAGAAGGGAAATTAGCAATTTACCATCCGGAATGAAAGAGTAATTGGAAAGAATTAAAGATTAAGTGTGTGTATGGAACAGGAAAAGGAAGGCATCTAAGATGACTCCAACGTGTCTGCTTGGAGTTAAAACATTAAAAAATTATACATATAGTAAAGCAGAAACCACTGAAGTGATGTGATATTTGTAATTTGTTTTAATACCATTCAGTGAGAGATTAGCATGAGAGGTGGAATGGTTGAGGCTAGTCTATGCCTGTGGAGCATTTGTTGAACTAGTCTTTATAGTTTGTGTAACTTCAAAATTATCCCCCCTACATACACACAGTATCACAGATGGAATTCTCTAGGTTGCCAAAATATAGGTTTCCACCCTGATTTCCAATTGAAGCCCATCTCCTCCCAACAGACAGAGGAGCAGCTGGTATGGAGATCACAGAAGAAGCAGAAGCTCAGGATTCCCAGGACAGAGAAGTGGGTAAGGCTGGAACCCCTATCAACAGGAGGGGCTGTGAGCCCGGCAGGGACCAAGCCAGGAATAGGCCTTCGGGAGGCTGGGGAGTGTGAGTTTTATGCAAACAGCAATGAGGAGTCAGTGCAGGATTTTGATATATGGGGTGACCTGCCCAACAGGAATAAAAAAGATCTCTCTGGATGTTTGGGAAGAGAGTATCTGAGGAAGAAAGGGATTTTGTGTGTAGGTTATTACTGGATGGTCTCATGAGCTAAGAATCTGGGGGATCATTTACACAGTTAAAGTAAATTTGGATATTAAGTATGATGAGGAGGTGATGATTTCTAAAATTTCCTGTTCAAGTGTTCAACACATCTACAAACGCATTAAAATGTCTCACTTAGCTTCATAATTAACCAAGAAAAAGTAAATACATGTTTTTAAAAAATGTTTAAATGTAAACAAATTATATGACACTAAGTCCAAATTCTGGTGTAAAACGTCTAAAACAACTATTTAGAAAACCACAAACTTTAGAAAATAAAGCTCATATCATAAAATAAAAATTATGAATACACTATTAGCTAGTAAATATTATGCCTACTAAGACCATGACTATTTAGTAAATCACATCTAAGCACTAACAAATCTCCAAGTGCTCATGTGCTGTTAGAGTTGAAGCACTGTGTGAAATGTTTGCTGAATTGCCGTCTTTTAAGAAGGTCACCAACCTTATCTCCTGAGAATTTTTCATTCAGTGCCATTCCCTGAACAGCCCCTACGCAGGTTTCAAACCATCTTAACTGTAACAGCGTCTATGATGCTGACCAGATGGCACAGGTGGGCAATTTAACTTTTTCCAGAATATACTCTGGGGGTCCAAACACCTTAAAAAGTTATCCTTGTATAAGTTTGTACCACATATAAACCAAGACTCCTTCTGGGAGTGAGAAACTACAATAATAAAATACAATATCAGGATCACAGGATGTAGGATTCAGATGATGAATGTGTGAACAGAGATGATGGATGGTGAACTACAGAGAGACTGGGCTCTCAGGTCTCTGGGCCATGGAAAAGAGTGTGTCCTGTAACCAGCACAGGACACAGCTCGGTAAGAACCACACGCCCCAAGGATACCGGACTGGGAGCTGGGCCCTGTGCTCACTGATGGGGACTAAGGAGCTCTATCCTCTCTGGCCTGTCAGAGTCCCCTGAGCAGGGACCTGTGTATGGTCTCAGCAGGTCTTTCCTTCCAGGGCCCTCCCAGTGAGGGAAAGCCAGTCTTCCTCCTCCTCAGGCTGCAGTGTGAGCTGAGCTCCAACCCCTGGGCGCAGGGAGGGGCTGGGCAGTCCCTGAGTGGAAGCACATTGGCATGAGCAGCCCCTCCTCTGCAGATGGCAGGAAGAAAAGGAGGCCTAGGGCAGCCCAGTCCCACTGTGGGGTCAGTAGCTGTGTCTACCATGGCCTGGATTCCTTTCCTCCTCTTGCTCCTGTCTCACTGCACAGGTAGGGACAGGCCTCAAAGACCAGCCTGCATCAGAAACATGAGATGAGGCCCCTGAGAAATGTTTCCCTGAATTCTGCCCCAGTATCCACATGTGTCTTTTCATCTGAAGGAGTTATAAAGATTTTCCCAGTTAAAAACAAAAGCAAAGCTCTGCCAGCAGTGTATTTGTGGTCCCAAATCTGCTTCGGACACTGAGCAGGAGCAGAGAGAGAGAGAGAGAGAGAGAGAGAGAGAGAGAGAACAAGAGACCCATAGGGGAAAGGGTTTGTATGTGGGTATGGGAGTGAGAAGAGCTGGTGGCAAGTTGCTGAAGAGGCCTAATCCACAGAAGTAGGGTTTCATGTGGGACTTTCAGAATGAGCAGATGTGCAGTGGGTGGAGAGTGAGGATCAGAAGTTTCTAAGCAGAAATGAGAATCCAAAGATGGGTCATTGGTCATTCAGGTCAAAGGGAGACGTTATCTTGGCCTGTGCCTCCAGTCACTGGAGCAGGGGGGCCAGGATGTGCTCCCTGCAGGTGTTACTGGAAAGGGGTCCTGATCCAGATCCCAAAAGAGGGTTCTTGGATCTCACACAAGAAATAATTTGGTGGGAGTCTATAAAGTAAAGTGGAAACAAGTTTATTAAGATGGTAAAGAAATAAAAAAAATGGCTACTCCTTAGGGCAGCACGAAACACTGCCGATTGACCATTTTTATAGATATTTCTTGATCATATGTTAAATAAGAAGTGGATTTTTATTAGCTTTACAGGAATTCTATTTTAAACTATAGACCATATAGGGTAACTTCTGGATGTTGCCATAGCGTTTGTAACTGTGAGGATAACCAGACGTCACTTTCCTTACCATCTTGGTTCCAGTGAGTTTGGGCTGGCTTCTTTAGTGCATCGTGTTTTGTCAGCAGGGTCTTTATGATCTGTATCTTGTGACACCAGTCTGGTCCGGCTGACTTCCCATCTCATCCTGTGAATACCAATGCCTAACCTCCTGGTAATACAGCCCAGCGTGCCTCCGCCTCATTTTACCAAGCCCCTATTCAAGATGGAGTCACTCTGTTTCCAGCTCTTCTAACTTAGGGTGGCTGCAGAGCTGGAGGTGCAGATTGGGGCCGATCAGCATGATGACCCCTGAGAAAAGCACACAGAGTCATGGACGGGCTGTGACGTGGAAGAGATGAACTCACATTGGCATTTGGTCACTGACTTTCTAGCTGTAATGAGAACAGAATGGAGAGGCCTGGGACAGGGAGACAGGATGGGGTTGCTAGTGCCATCCTGGTGGGAAGATCTAGGTGAGTTACTGTGGGGATAAAGAAGAGAGAGCGGATTCCTGGTCTCTTTATGCTGTAGAATACATTGGACTTGGAGAGGACTCGGAGCTTGTGTGTGAGAAAAGCAGATCTATCTCAGCAGACTCCCAACAAACTGGCTGAGAATTTAGATGAAAGATTATTATTAAATAAAAGAGAAAGTCTGAAACAACATTTTCATCATATATATTTTTTTAACCCAGGGTTGGGATAGGTGGAAATGTGTGTGTGTGTGTGTGTGTGTGTGTGTGTGTGTGTTTAAATATTCACTGATTTTCCAATTCAAAAATATTTACTGAGTGACTACTAGGTAATAATAATATACAGGTTTTAGTGTTACCATGATGAATCAAATTGTCAAGGTCACAGGCATCTTTTTGTTTTGTGTGGATCTACAGTGAAAGATACTACACTAAATTTTTTCTGAATCATGCAGAGGAAAGCATTAAACACATACACAAACATATGCATGTTTTTGTGTGTGTAGTGTGTGTGTATGATCTATCTCAGCATACAATATTACTGAGACTGAGCTTGTGGATTAGGTCCTAAAAAATAATAGTGTTAACATTCACGAGGCAAGATCTAGGTGAAATTCTTGTATGTACCCTACCTCATACAATGCTGCTGAAACTACACTTGTGTATTAGGTCCCAGCAAAAATAATCATGTTAACATTCATGATACAATTAGAATGGTATCTAACACGAAGTAAGTGCTATAAAAGAACATTTGAGGCCAGGCACAGTGGCTCATGACTGCAATCCCAGCACTTTGGGAGGCCGAGGCAGGTGGATCATCTGAGGTCAGGAGATTGAAACCAGCCTGGCCAACACAGTGAAATCCCATCTCTACTAAAAATACAAAAATTAGTCAGGTGTGGTGGTGGGCACCTGTCATCCCAGCTACTCAGGAAGCTAAGGCAGGAGAATCGCTTAAACCCAGGAGGTGGTTTCAGTGAGCTGAGATCACGCCATTGCACTCCAACCTAGGCAACAAGAGCAAAAAAAAAAGAAAGAATATTTGAATTGTTACATAATATCGGACTGTGTGTAGAAGGCCTAGACAGGGCGTCTTGAAAGTTCTGGGTCCCTTTCCTGATTTTTCCACAAAACTCTAACCCTTTTACTTTTAACATCCCCCATTTCCAAGTTCACCCTGATGTGCCCACCCCACTTGGTGCAGGAACCTAGTCACCTGGTGGCCCCTCTCTGGTCTGTGGCTCCTGCCTGCCTCTGGGGAGAATTGTATTCTTGGTCATCTTCCTCAAGTCCAAATATCCACAAAAGCAGCAGATGTTTATCTCTTTAATAATGGCGATCTCTTCTTGAATGATTTCCCTGTGCATTTTTATTAAGGATCTCAGCCTATCGAGGGTCTAATGGGGACAAGTGATGAGGGTCATGGAGCTTGGCCTGCTATGGGGGATGTGGAGTGTGATGGGAGAGAGAAGTGGGTACCCTGAGACTCATATGGAGGCTGGAGAGGGTTATTAATCCCCCTGCCTTCCTAGCCACTGGGCACAGGACATATTCTCTCTGATTGCCACTCACCTATGTCCCCAAACACACAAAAATCTAAATGGGGAAGAAGCAGAGGATGACCTCATGCCAAGGAGTCTGGATCTCTGAAGAGAGAAATGTACTGTGATGAGCACCCTGCAGCACGAAGAGCCTGCAGTGGGAGTGGAGGGGATGAGCCCTGCCTCTGTGTGGGAATGGTGTGTGCAAGGCAGTGCTGAGGGCCAGCATTGCTCCAAGACCTTCAAGCCAGTGAGGAATGAACCTGGGCTCTGAGACAGTGAAGGAAACTGTGGCCTGTCCCTGAGGGTCTGTGGGGGTCTCAACTGGAAAACTAGGCCCTGGACCCCTGCCTTGGGCCCTCTGCTCTGTGCTTCCTGTTTCAACAGCTGGGACCTCCCAGGGCCAGAAGAGGCTCCCCTAACCCCACCCCACACTCAGCCTTCCCCAAGCTCAGGCCCAGGACATCAGGGGGAGGGGCATGATTTGCATGAAGGGTGCTCTCTGCCCTCTTGAGAGGAGAGGATAAGAGAGACTCTGTGCAGTTCTCCTCAACTGTGGGCTTAGGAAGCAGAGCCTGGGGCATCTCCATCATGGCCTGGACCCCTCTCCTCCTCCAGCTTCTCACCCTCTGCTCAGGTGACTGCTGTGGAATGCCAAAGTGATTACTGGGGACACATGGGGTGAATTTTTCCTTATATTTTAACATTGTGGGGTGGGTAATCACCCCAAACTCACCTCTCTGTGCCTCCCTCCTTTGTTCCAGGGTCCTGGGCACAGTCTGGGCTAACCCAGAAAGCCTCGGTGTCAGGGTCTGTGGGACAGAAGGTCACCTTCTCCTGCACTGGAAACAGCAACAATGTAGGAGGTTATACTGTGGGCTGGTACCAACAGGTTTCTCATGGCGCTCCCAAAACTGTGATGCTTGGAAGTACTCGGCCTACAGGGATCCCTGATCGCTTTTCTGGCTCACAGTCTGGAACCACAGCCTCCCTGACCATCTCGGGTCTACAGCCTGAGGACGAGGCTGATTATTACTGTTCAACATGGGACAAGAGCCTCAGTGCTCACACAGTGCTGCAGACACATGGGGAACCGAGACAAAAACCTGCCCTTGACCTGTCCTGAGGCTGATCACCCCATACTTGTCTGTGACAAACAAAGATTGTACCTGTGGCTGATCCTACAGCTTAAGCATGAGAGGATGTGAGACTTAACCACAGGCTCCGGCATAGGATCAGTGGGCCTTGTTCCTACATAATCTGTCCTTATTTAAAAAGGGAGATAGGCCCGGCACGGTGGCTCACGCCTGTAATCCCAGCTACTTGGGAGGCTGAGGCAGGAGAATTGCTTGAACCTGGGGGGGGCGGAGGTTGCAGTGAGCCGAGGTCGCGCCACTGCACTCCAGCCTGGTGCCTGGTGACGGAGTGAGACTCTGTCTCGAAAAATAAATAAATAAAATAAAAAAGGAGATAAATTTCACTTAGTATAAGATGTACAATTAAATTGTCTTATTATGTTTACAGAATTATGCATCTACCCCCATAATTTAATTTTAAAACATTTCTTCACCCCACAGAAAACTCCCACAATTAGCAGTCACTCTTCACACTTTCTCCCCAGCCACTGGTCACTGCTAAGTACTTTCTGCAAAGAACATGCATGTAAAGCCCTAAGAAACTCAGTGATTCCAAACAGGTAGATTTTTTTTTAAATGCCCAAGCAAGTAATAATAAATGACTGAAATCAAAGATAAAGACCAAAGTACAAAAGTAGACGAAAAGCTTTATATATACAGAAAATCAACTCAAATGATGATTGATATTTTGCGAGTACACATTGAGACCAAACGGCAATGCTGTATTCTCACAATGTCAAAACAAAGAGTGAAAGAAGTGCTGAGTCATAATGCTATATCCAGGTAAATATTTGTTTAAAAAAAAGGTAAAAAAAAAAAAAAAAGGCAAAAAATAAGACCTTGTCAGATGAAGAAAATCTAAAAGAATTCATCTCTAGTAGATGTGCTAAAAAAAAAAAAATCAAAACAAATCAACTCTAAAGGAAAATTTTCAGGTGGAAGAAAAATGATAACGGAGAGGAACATTGAACCCAAATAATTCAGGAAGAAAAACCAGTAAGTATAATCGAAAAGACCAGTTTTGTAGCTCTTAAGTTCTGTAAAATATGCATCTCAAAAGCTAAGTTATAGCATTTTTGATAGAATTTCTACTTACGAAAAATATATGTATATGACAACTTCAACCAAAACAGGAAACTGTAAGGGGTCTATGTGATGGGGAAACATTAGGCCTATTATTAAATCTAAATAGATGGTGAATAGTTATGTGAACATGTTGTAATCTTTACAGCAACCAGTGTAAAACTGTACAGAGATGTCAATATAAAATCAATATAAAAATCAAAAGAGACCACTAAATAATACTCAAATAATCCAAAAGTAGCAGAAACAGGGTGGAGAGGAACAGAGATCATGGAGAAAAAAAAGAAAACTTATTCTAAAATTGTAAGCTTAAATTCAACCTTGTGAATCATTTCATTAAATGTAAATGAACTAAGCACATATATTAAAACAGAGTTCGTCACACTGAGAACAATAAAAAGCAAGAGACAAGCATGTAATTCTACAATAAACTCTAAATAGAAGTATATACACAAAAGTAAAATGATAACACAAATAAACACAGAGTTAAAATGGCATAAAGCATAACTTCAATGTTAATTGCATCATTCTGATAGTGTATACTGTATATTGTGTTGTAAGACGTCACTATTGGAGAAAATTGGGTGATGCATAAGTAAATCTTTATTACAATCTATTCTCTCTGAATCCTGTTACCTGGAGGCTTCATCTGCATGATAAAACCTTGGTTATTACAGTGCCTTAACTTAACCCAGGCATTCTTTTGTTCTAAGTCTTTAGACAATAACTTAACTCTTTAACCAATCATCAGAAAGAAAATCTTTGAATCAATCTATAATCTGGAAGCCCCCCTACTTTGAGTTGCCCTGCCTTTCTGGACTGAACCAATGTGCATCTCACATGTATTGATTGATGTCTCATGTCTCCCTGAAATGTATAAAACCAAGTTGTAGCCTGACCACCTGGGATACATGTTCTCAGGATCTCCTGAGGGCTGCGTGATGGGCCATTGGTCACTCATATTTGGTTCAGAATAAATCGCTTCAAATATTTTACAGATCTCAACTCTTTTAATTGACAGTTTCTGTGAGCTCAGGAAATCCCATTCATCTGACTCATGGGGGTCCTTAATGTTCTGAGTGGGTCAGTGGTAGGAAAGTCACATCCATGGGACCAGCTTCTCCCAACTTCCCTGGAGCAGGTTCAGTATTTTTCCAGCAATTGTGTAGCCTCTGCTCTAACTCTCTTGTACCCCACATAAAAGTGCTGGCCTCAGGCCCTCATTTTCTTCTATCCCTACCCCTAACCTCCTGACATGAAAACTGAAGGTGCAGGTAACTGCGTGTGAGCCAGGCCAGCTCTGTGCTGAAATTCCTCTAGGGCCTGAATTTCTCAGCATTTCACACCTTACTGCCTCATCCCTGAGTCACAGGGAGCCTCAGGCAGCCCCAAGCATAGCTGATCCAGGATAGAAAGAGATGCCTGGGGAGGAAAGAGGAGGTCTCTCATCTGACCCCTCAAAGACAGAGTCTATGCTGTAGGGGACTGTCCACCTGCTGGGATGGTCTTCAACCACTGGCTAAAAAGGAAATCAGAAAAAGTGAATTTCCCTCCTTTCAAGTACATAAAAACAAAACACCTCTACAGACTGCGGGTTTAGCAAATCTACATAACTGAACAACACTTCAGCGGTTTTGTTTTCAGCATTCCTGAGACTTCAGAAGCATTCAATGGAAAACTGAGAGGAGAGCATTTTTTGAGTCAGAAGGTGCTTTCATGTGGAGTTTGTATATGCAAGTTATTTTAAGATCTAAACATCATCAGAGAACAAGACTCTGAGCAGGCTGAGGTTTTGTCCCACTTCCCCACCTGCATGTGTCAGCGTGAGAAGCTCCACTCTGCTCAATCATACAGTAATAGTAAGCCTCATCCTCAGACTGGAGCTCAGATATGAGCAAGAGCCCTTTATTGGATCAGCTTCCATCAATCCAGAGAAGCGGCTGGGGACCCTGGAGCCCTGGTCATGAAATGAATTTTGGTAGTGGCTTAGGAGATGCTGGGGGGAGGGGGTAGGATTCCCTGGCTTATGCTGGTACCAGTATATCCAGTAGAAATCAGCACTGAAGCCACTGCTCAGGGTGCAGGAGAGTCTGACTGATTCTCCTGGAGATGCAGAGAGGGAGGATGGCTGAGGCAGCACTGGCTGGGAGAGGGAACCTGTAGACACAGATGCACAATGGTATTGGATCACCTACCAGCATAAAGTTGCTGTAAGATCTTAGCCAGAGGGGACTGGTGAAGCCTAAAGGACCTGTCCTAGACATGGGAGGCCTGTTCCTACCAGAGAATTGAGAGAGAAGCAGCAGGAGAAGAGTCAAGGCCATGGTCAACACAGCTTTCCTGAGTTCCAGAGCTGGAGTGGCCTGCCCCAGGCTTCTCATCCTCTCCATTGACCTCAAAGAGGAGGAGTTATGGATGCAAATGTGTCCCCCACGTTGCCTGCCTCAACCTCACCCCATGTATTTATTCAAGTCCTATGGGCTGGTGAAGGGGGAAGTCTGGTAGGCCAGACCTGAAAGGAAGTGGGTACTGGGGCCACACCCAGGCAGGACACAACTGCACAGTCAGGCTCAATGAGGCCAGGCTCTACTGCCCGGCCCTGAGGAATTTGTGAGGTGGGAGCGGGTTGGTTGCCCATTGGGCAGACCCACAGTGTCCCCTGCTGCTCTCTGCCCAGACTGCGTTGTCTCAGTTGAAATCATGTATGTGGTGTTAGTCTGAGGGCCTGGCGAGTATCAGTCCAGAGGCATTTATAAGCCATGCCCCTGGTCATGGCCCTGATTGCTCACATGAACAAACAGATTTTTCAATAAGTTTTTCTTTGATAACTAGAGGGGCATGTGAAAACTACAACCCCCATCCAATAAAAGGCAGCTGCAGCAAGTTGGGAATGCAGAGGGCTCTGGGAGCAAAGGACCTGAGCATCTTATTCCATATGGGCCAGGAAAGGAGGTGACTGGGACTAGGGTCTCACTGGGGCGTGGGGTCCTGCACTGGGACAAGTAGTCATACAACATTACTAGGGAGAGATAGGACTTTGGAAATGAAGAGACTGGTTTTTTGTTTCGTTTTGTTTTGTTTTTTGAGACAGAGTCTTGCTCATTTGCCAGGCAGGAGTGCAGCGGCGGAAACTCAGCTCACAGCAACCTCCACCTCCTGGTGGAGTGACTCTCTTGCCTCAGCCTCCCAGGTAGTTGGGTGCATGTGAGTAACCGCAGCTCTCAGGGAGGCAGATGCAGAGGGCTGCTAAGTCAGTACAGGCTGACCGAGTAAACCTGGAAGCATAGGTTACCATTAGGGATCCAGATGACAGGCAGGCAAGGAATGCTGGAGAGGTTTGGATAAGAGGGACACTGTCCCCTGACAAGGTGCTGACCTCTGAGAGGCGCTGTCCTCTGCTAAGGAGTTTACCCAAGAAAGGTGCTGTTCTCTTTAAAGGTGCTGACCGCTGAGAGGCGCTGTCCTCTTAGATGCTGATTCCCGGGAGGCGCTGTCCTATATTAAGGTGCTGAATCTTGAGAGGCTCGGTCCTCTCAAGGGGCTCATCTCTCAGGGGCGCTGTCCTCTGTTAAGGCGCTGAATCCTGAGGGGAGCTGTCCTCTGTTAATGTGCTGATCCCTGAGAGAGGCTGACCTGTTAAAGTGCTGAATCCTGAGACGAGATGTTCTCCACCAGGCTGCTGATCCCTGAGAATCACAGTCCTCTGGTGAGGTCCTGAACCATCAGAGGCGCTGCTAAGATGCTGACCCCTGAGGGGCGCTGTCCTCTGCTAAAGTGCTGACTCTTGAAATGCTCTGAACTCTGATCAGGTGCTAACCCATGGGAGGCGCTGTCCTCTGGATAGCGGCTGAACCCGACAAGCACTGTGCGCGGGTCTGGGAGTGTGCGTGGGCGAGCGAGGGTTTGT